CTGACGTGTTTGAGAAAAAAAGTTGGTGGTGAAATGTCATCGTCACTGCACACACTGGCATACACCAAGGGGAAGCCCACCGCCTGGCAGAGTTTAGAGATGGCTTGGTAACAGCTACACAGAAAAGTAAGCAAATGAATTTAAAGAAAAAAAAAAGGCAATTACTAAAATAGGAAGAAGGGAAAGAGTGTTACGCAGGAAAGGAAACGTAACCAGCGTCCACCCTGTGGCTCAACTCAATAAGGCTGACATAGCAAAGATAACGTACAGATTAAATACTGACTCAGCCAAAATCGTCATTATGAGGGTGGAAAGAAAGAAGGAGAGGGTCGTGCATTTGTGTGTTTGTGTGCATGTGGCCTTATTGGGGGGTTGGGGGAGAAGAGTTGGTAAGAGATCTAAACAATCATCTTCCACAGTCATTAGAGATAAAGTTAACTGTATCTACATCTGAAAACCAAAATCAAGAAACTTACTTTACCGAATTTGGGATGTCACCTATTTAAAAGGATCTCCATTAGTTTATGTACCTCTTAGAATAAAAAAAAAAAAATGCCAACTAAACTATGACATGCAATCACTTGCAAGACCCAAAGATTTCAGAGGTATTAAAATGGAAGGGAGGGCAGGAGGTATGGTTTAGAAATACAATGGTGTGTTCTGTGAGACAAAGCTGAAAGGGGTTCAAATGGGTTATCTCTGTGGAAGAGGAATGCAGGCAGGGAGAGGTGAGGAACATGCTTGCTACTTTTGTTGTAATCTTTGTTAAATTTTAAACAATATTATATATTATATATGTAACTTAATGGCTAATTAAGTTTTAAATAAACAAAGAATAGTATGCATCAAACCTTCCAATTAAAAAAAAAAGCTTTCACTTCTCCAGTGTTCATGATACAGCTTAAACGCTATTTAATGAAAACTACTTAGCATAAAAACATCTTGTAATTCTCATTATTTTACTATTCAAAATCATCTACAAATGGATGAGGAGAGCTATAAAATAATCTGAAACCACTCGGAAGTTACCATCCTCACCGTCTGCCCTCTTCTATAAAATGGAACAAAATCTAAAATATATCTTCTTATTTGCCTATTTTCTAGGTATTTGTTTGCTTGGGCTTCTGAGATGGTGGGTTCTCCTGCCCGATCCTTAGTTACAGAGCGAGCTCACTGCTTGCCACCTTCGCTTGGAAAAGCATCCATTTAGAAGTGACACAAGTCACCAGTGCAAGAGTGTGACCACAGGTCCTGGCTAATCAGGCACTTGCTCCTCTGCTTAGGAGGAACCAGATTGATTTGGAGTGTGCACACAAAAAAACCTAATTTCTAAAAGAATACTTTATTCTTGTTCGACCTAAACTCTCTCCTGAGAAAAGATATTCATTCTGGCCTCCCCAAATACATTTTTTAAAACATGCCATTCTTCAGTTTCCCATGGGTTTGGAAGTAGTTAGATCCAGGGTCGTCTAAAAAGTGACAAGAGTCTGAACGTTGGGACAGAGTTTGGCCATGTTCTTGGCTGGAATGAGTCCACATTTGCTCACACTTAAACACACCAACACTCATGCAGGGAGATGGAAGGACTCTGGAAGGTCTGGAATTTTACGCTACTTACAAGCGTCCTCTTTAGCCTGCCGTGATGTCAGAGATGCGGCAGAAGACACGAGACTCCCGGGTCAGAGACAAAGAATTTTATTGCTCATGGCAACAGCAATAGCCAGAGTATCACCACAAGCACCCACTCCCCGGGATCCCGTTCCCACAGACCAATGGGAAGGGGGACCCAGGTGATGCAAATAGCGGCTCACAATCCAGGGAAAGAACCCAATCTTTTTCCAAATACTTTTATTGTGCTAAAATACATGTAACATTTACAGTTTTGACTAGTTTCTTTTTTGTATTTATTCATTTATTTTAGGGGGAGAGAATGCATGTGTGCTAGGGTGGGAAGAGCAGAGGGAGAGAGTCTTAAGCAGACTCCACAAGCCCGATGCAGGACTCAAACCCATGACCCTGAGGTATGACTGGAGCAGAAACCAAGAGTTGGACGCCTAACTGCACCACCCAGGTGCACCATTTTGACCAGTTTTGATCATACAGTTCGACGGTGCCATATCTTTTACAGTGGATACTAACCCTGCCTGACCTGCAGCACCGGAGGACATTGGCCTTACGATACTGGGCAATAAACAAAGTTGGCGATTGCTCTACGCCAAGGGTTCTCATCTCAGTCCTGTTAACATTTTGGACTAGGTAATTTTTTGTTGGGAGGGCTGTCGTGTGCATTACAAGACATTTAGCCAAAGCCCTGGCCACTTCCCACCAGATGCCAGGAGTACTCCCACAGGTCTAACAATCAAAAAAATGTCCCCAGAAATTGCCAAACCTCCTTCAGAGGTAAGACTGCCTCGAACTTAGAGTGACTGTTTCAGAGGAAGTCACTGTGTCTGTCTTCCAAGCTTGTTCAAACATCATTTAAAAGACAGTCCAAAAAAAAAAAAAAAAAAGGAGAGAGTTAAGATAATCCAGAACAAAGGTGATCTGTCCCTCTGCTCATAAGATATGCAGAAACACAAGAGATCCACGGATAATTGGCTCCTGGCAATATTTACTTCTAAAACTTCATCTGCTTTTCAGGCATCGATACAATACTTGGGTATTTACACACACACACACACACACACACACACACACCCTTGTCCACAGCCCTTTGACTAAAGTTATAACATGAACCATTTAGATGATAGGAAATCCGTCCAAAGAAATGAACATTTCTTGGCCCAAGAGGGAGTGTACATCAGTGTGATTTACAGCTGAGCCAAGTTGTATGTGATGACTACATTTCCTTTCCTATGCAGGAATTTTTTTTTCCTTCCTTAAGCTAGTAATTGGCTTTTTGGGGTTTGGGGTTTTTTTTTCTGTGTGTGTGTGTGTGTGTGTGTGCGTGTGTGTGTGTGTGTGTGTGTGTATGTTTGTTTGCATTTAATACTCTTTCCCCAGATCACCCACACACTTCGAAACCGGACAGACCTACTTTCAAACACAAACTCCTCTGGAGAATGGTACAACCTTGGACAAGCAAGTTCACCTACACGAGCTCACTTCCTCTCTCCATATGAAGTAGGTGGGGTAAGACTTGTGTTTCGGGGCGGTCACCACAATTATACCAGATGAAAGTGCCCAGTGCGGGGTGCCTGGCACTTGGTAGGTACTCAGTTAACAGCATCCACCGCTTCCTGGAGGACACAGTGGGAGGACATCCGCAGAGCTGTTCTCAACGATCATGGAGCTTTCCACTAACTTCTCCACACCCTTACTGGGTGCTTCACAAGACCCGTAACACAGCTGCTGAAGATACGGAGCAGAAGGGCAGCAGGCCACAGAGAGAACGACCCTGAGACTGGACCCCGTAAGTACCTCTCACCAACCATGGCCACCAGCTAATTCCAGCTCTATTACTTATGGGGTCAAAGAAGAAAGGAATTCTGACCTTTGGTTATTGGGTTTTATTTCCTTCAAACTGACATCAGTGTGTTGATCTCACCCAGCTTTCATGGGTCTGCTGACTCAGTGTCTCCGCAGACGCGCATTCTGATAAGTGACCCCTCTCCGGTCACGTGAGCAATGGAGCTTCCAGACACCTACCCCAGGCTGTTCCTGGTAGCATTAGAGACCTGCTCCTTCCCTCTCTTGGCTCCCCTTCCTTGTGACACCAAACTTACAAGCAAAGAAACACCTACCACAGATTCTGAAACCTGTGAAGTGATTAACAAAGAGACTTCTCTTTTGGTTATCGGAGTCTGATTCTCCCTTAATCTGTGGCATTCTGGCTCTGGAATAAACTCATTTTGTTTTGGGGCAGCTGTACATACAGATGATTACTCTCCTTTGTCTTCCACTATAACATTTAATTACAGCATCACAGAAGACTTAAAATTCCATTTTCCCTCCACGGGAAAAAAAAAAAAAAACCCTATAACTGGAGTTTATGAAAAATTATTAGTTATATCTAATCCTGGGTAATAAATTGGATTTTTGAAATCTGTGTGATTTTTTAACACATGAGGCTTTTCATCAGGAAGGCGATACTTGTGGGAAACGCCTGTGGAATCATCAAGCAGCAGCCCTGCTGCCCCTCCGTGAAAACAAATACGACTGAGAAGTTCGTCTATGGAACCTGTAGGATTGAAATTCGCTTTCTGTAAAGGGAATATCACATAATCGTCAGAGGACAAGTGGCAATTCCTAGTGAATTCTCATTCCCTTGAGCCTGGGGTTACAATGTCCTCCCTCCCCACCTCAATGTCAATCCTCCATCTAGAAATGTAAGAAATCCGGCTGAATTGTATTAAAAAGCCTAACTGATTATTTCTTGTATAATTTAAACAACACGAACACTCCTTCATCCCTTCTACAAGCACATGTGCGCGTGCGTGCACACACACACACCACACACACTCACCCACTCTCATTCTCTCTGTCCTCCAAGTACCATGTTCCGTTGGCCTAAAAAGAAAATCAATACACACACAGCAAACATGCACGTTGTATTTGTATACGCAATTCCTTTATGAAAAATAAATTCCAACCACAATTTCAAGGACCTAAAGGAGAGAATATCACAGCGTTTTTTTTTAAAAAAAAAAAAAAAGCTTTTCTGAATGGAAGACTTTTTTTCTAGATTAAAAACTCCCAGCCAATATGCTTTTTCTGTATCAAACCTTCTCCCCCTTTGCATCTCAGGGCTTACCCCAATCCACCTCCTTCAATGCTATTTATTAAAGTCACCTCATTTCCCATGACTATAAAATAAAAATTTAAAGACAGCCCAAATGGCTCTTCTCTAAAGGAATACTAGGAAGACCTAAGGGTGTGTCGTGGGTCATTGGACACCCAGCTCCTGAGACGGTCTAAGCACACGCTTAGGAACAGCCCGGAGCAGATAACCCAGAACTTGAAAATAAAGAGTGACCATTTGGTTTGTACATGGGGACTACCTGGTCAACTGGGATCTCCACTTGCGTGTCTTCATCTTCCTGGACTTCTGCTGCCCCCCGTGTCTCAGACCTCTCTGCTCCCGCCTGGAAAACGCCTTCACCTATCATTGGGAGACAAATGCACAGCGAAAATCAAAATCCAATTGTGACATCATGTGGCTGAAAATTGAAACTGCAACCAAATACTAAGGAAGATAATGCTTTTTAAAGATTTTTTAATTTATTTATTTGACAGAGATCACAAGTAAGGAGAGAGGCAGGCAGGGGTTGGGGCAGTGGGAAGCAGGCTCCCTACTGAGCAGGGAGCCCGATGTGGGGCTTGATCCCAGGACCCTGGGATTATGACCTGAGCCACCCACTGAGCCACCCAGGTGGCCCGATAATGCTTTTTAATAGGTATTTTGCCTCCCTTTGTACTGACGGGGCTTTTGCAGCCCTCTCCCAGCCACGCTACATACACATGTCTGCATTTTCACAGGGAAGAAGCCCAGAGGTGAGGACAAGGTGACCCAGCAGAGCAGGGCTGTGTCCCAGACTCATCCTCACCCCGGGGCTGCTGACCCAGCAACACAGCCCTGTACAGGTATCCAGACAGAAGGGACCTCACACTTGTTACCTGCTCCCCACGGTTATCCCCAAAGCAGGGATGATGCTTGGTGCCCGAAAATACTAGCTTTAGAGGTTCTCCTTTCCCAAGAGAATGCCATGAACTGAATATAGGGTGTTGGAATAATTCTATTTGGAACAATATTGAAAAATATACATATTTCTTCCTGCAACAGAATCACATAGCTCACTCTGGGTCTCAGACAAATCAATCTTGTAGTTTGCATATGTCCACAGGATTTTCACAACCTAGGTCTCAAAAATCCTTACCCGTAAAATGTAATCTAAATCTCTAAGGCTTTAGGGTAAGCTCCTGTGACTTGTCTTCCCACGGAAAGCAACAGTGGCTCTTTTCCGTACCCAAAGAAGTTTTCCTGTTTCCCCCCAGTCTTCGCTACTCCAGGCCAAGCCATCAAAGAGTCACAGAAGAGTTTTTCATTCTATCTGCACTCCCCAAAAGAGGTTTAAGGTGTCAGTCCTTCACACAGATATTTCCTCTGCCCAATTTTTAAGGATCTCCAGAGATGGAGAGTTCCCCTCCTTCCCTGGTAATCGATTACAGGACTCCCCCTGCAGTCTAGAAAATACAGTTTCATCTTTTATCTTAGAACTCCTCTATTTCTCCAATGGAAGCTTGTTTCCCAGAGCACAATTATCTGATGTGTCACATAATAACACGTCATATTGTTAAAGTTATAAAGTCACTTGTTACTTATGATTAAGTGGAAAACATTCCTTTACATTCCTGGAGGAGTGATTATACATACAACACCAAGATACACACAAGACATAGGCTGGTTGCTCAGGTTGCTGACAAACCAATGAGTGTGTATTCGGAGATGTGAACACACCCCCAGTAAGGTTTTCCCTGGAGGAAATGCTGGAACAGGTAAGGGCTGAAGCCGAGCGCCATGGGCGCTTAGAAGATCCAGCCACGTGAAAAGGGAGGGAAGGCAGGAGGAAATACAACCAAACTCAAGCCCTTCTTGTTTCTCCTAGAGAAACCATTTTCCTTTTTAATTACTTTTTTTGTGACTTGACTGGATATTGGCTTCTCCACTCTCCTTTTTAAAGACCAGGGACAACAGAGCTGCCCTCAAAGCTGATTATACACGTTAGATTAATTCGCATGGATTAACTCATTTTGAGGATTATCTACAGCAATCATTTAATCCCAGACTGGTTCTTCCCGTCATCCAACAAAGTCTTTCCACCCAATGATCCCTCCTTCCATCAGCTCTTGTATGCTTAAGCAACCCAGAGTAGTTTTTCATTCATTAGAGTTTCCTCAGTTAAATCATCCTCCTCCATGTATATGAAAACTGAAAACATACATATATACAGGAATCCCTACCAGATCACTACCAAATGAGGATGTCAGCATTCGCAACTGTTTTGGATCATCACTAGCGCTAATCCTCCCCAAAGACATGGCCCACACAGCAGAGCCAAGGATTACATCCTGCCTTGGTCCTGTCTTACTACTGAGGACGTGAATCCACGATGAAATCCCAGTTGGAACCTCAACATCAGAAGAAAGAATATAGAAAGCGACATAGAGAATGCGCTGAGTCCTCATGGATGTAGGAAAAAATCCACAGCGTTCTGCTCATGCACTCAACAAAGCCAACCTGGATCTAGCAGGAGTATGGGGCAGGCCACTTGGAGGGGCCAGGAAAATAGCTCACAATTATTCTGTCGTAAAGCAGGAAAAGCAGAAGTGAGTAATCAAGTCTACAAAATTGGGAGTCAATAGAGATACAGTAAGCTCTTGGTCTCTCCACATCAAACTCTGGAATTGGAACTCAAGAAAACGATGGCAGAAACGATGGAGATTCTGCCTTATTCACATGTGGAGTTCATAACCTTGAGAACGTGAGCAGGCTGCACAGTTTATCAAACATTATCTCCGGTGTGGTTGTAAAAGGAAGATTAGGCATGTTTGACATTCATTGCTACTTTCTGGATCACCTTAGAAGACAGTAATCATACTTGCCCTCAAAACATCCTTTGAGTCAACCTTCAGCGAAAGGTGCTGTGCTCTAGTTATGACCTGAGTACACGATATTTTTGGATGACGTTTTGGCACCCAAGCATTGCACCTGCTTTCAAAGACACAACCAAGAGAAACCTACAGATCCGAAAGGAATATATTCTTAAACACTCACATCCAATGGAATGCTTAACTGTACCCAGCCAGAGCTATAAATGACTTGCAGATGTGTTTTAGAATAAACATTTCACAGGAAAAGAAAAATAAAATCAATAATAAAAAATAAAGTAAGATTGAAAGGAGACTGGAATGTTAAATGGCAGCCATAGGCTATAAAAGACAAAGAGACAAATCAACAAAACTCAACGTTGTGTACAGTGATACAGAAAACAGGGATAAACGTGTCTGTCTGTGGTGGCATGCAAGATCTCATTCATCAGCGAATGGAAACGTGAGCCATCTCCTTCAGCAGCACAGGGCAAGAGAGGAAGGTCAGAGGGGACTTCACAGGAATAAATGGTGGCAAAAAAAAATAAATAAATAAAAAAGGAAGAAGGGTTAGGAAGTTACTCTGTGATGGGAGAAAGCCTACTAGGATTTTAATGTTTACTACATGTGTTATATAAAATTAAAAATAAAGAAATATGAAGTTCTAGAGAAAAATAATTTTACACAGCATGGGCTGATGATACATTGTTTATATAATACATATGCATTTTAGGAAGCTTGGAAAATGAAGAAAACAAACATCCTTCTAACCTCATGACCCAGAGATAACCACCAATAATAATTTGACAACTGACTCTTCCTTTTTCTCTTTGTCCTTCTCTTTCTCTCTTAAATACACACACACACACACACACACACACACACACACATACACACACACACACACACACACCTCAAAGTGGGATCTTATTGTATATATAGTATTTAAGTGTTTTTTTTACTTTAACTTCCTGAGCACGGCCCATATCATGAAACGTTATCTGAACACACAGGAAGTTGCTGTGTTTGGTGGTACCACATTGTAACTAGTGGACAATACTAAACAATGAAACATTGTTTTTAAATGAATAGGTAGACTTCATTCATTTGATTGAGGAGTCAATATGTATCAAGATCCACCCTATAAAAATTCCGGGAGACCTGAAAGAGTTGCTCTTGACAAGCTTAGCAGCTTTGGAAAGCTCACAGACCAGCGGACTACTTACCTTTCCACATGCCTGCCCTGTGGCTCCTTTCCTGCCCCAGGGGAATAAGCGCAGTGCACTGCCCACACCAAGTCCTCAATACATGGTCATTGAAATGTAAGTGGAAAGACAAGTTCATGGTTTCGTGTCTTCCCAGCACATTGAGTCCCTTCCTGCTCCGTGCCCCTCCCACCCTGTCACCAGGTCTGGAATTGCTCTTCTAAAACTTCCCCTGAGCCTGTAGACTTCCCAGTTTTGGTACAACTTCCACTGGTATGATCATCTCCTGTAAATCCCGGGTCTCTCCACTCAGTGTCTCATTTTGGAGGAAACCTCACCTGTCTGTTTCTCTCCATCCTGTACCCACCACCTGCATGGTTTCAATACCCGGGTGACGAGCCACTCCACACCGTGATCTGAATACTTCTGCTTCTCAACGCCATGGCCACGCCAGCTCCACGTTAGCACACGCCGCCTTCATCCTGTGCCGGCACATCTATCGCAGCCCACCTGCAGAGTCTACCCCCCCTCCTCCCATCTCAGGCGTGCGTCCTCCACCTCTGGTTTACTCCTTTCCCCTTGTCCCCAAGCGGCTGCATGCTGAAGTCCGTCTGTCCATCAGCCCCACTCTGGCTCTCCATTTCTCCGTTAATCACTCGGTGTTTTGCCACTAACACCAGCTGCTGCTCCTCTGTCTCCCTGGCCAGCCCAACCTCCTCTGTTCACGTTCTAAGTGCTGGACACCTAGAGCTGCATCGTGGGTCTACTTCTCTCCTCGGACAGTCTCATCAAGATCATGGTTTGAACACCAGCCATATGCCAATAACTCCTTAACCTAGATAAGCCTCTTCAGAAATCCCAAAACTTACATATCGAATTGTCTAACTTGACAACTCCCCTTTGATATCAAATGGGCATCTCAACCTTAACGTCGTCAAAACAGAATTCTGGTCCTCCCCACCCCCCCACCCCCTGCTCATTGCTTATCATCCCTCTTCCCCGCCCCAGGAAGTGGCAGTACCACTTAACCCCCAAATCTGGGAATTATCCTCACTTCCATATTGCTCTCATTCCTTGTATCCATCCCATTATTGTCTTATCAATTCAAACTGATATCCCAAATCTGTGAATATTATTCCCATCTCCACTATCAACTTGGTCTAAAAACTAGTTAGAAACTCTCTAATGTCTTCCCATCATGCAAAGAACCCAAGTTCTCTACTATGGCTTCCCAGGGTGAGATCAGGCACTTACCTCCCTTGTGACACACACCTCATACCACCTTGCCTTCGCCCATTCCACCCCAGCC